TCTCTGGTGAGTCACAATTACACTGCAGTTTGTGCTGCTAGTCTTCATAATAATTATACACAAACAATTAAACAACCTAGTAATTTATTATCACAGGCTCATTTATTGATGCACGTAAATGTTTTGCCTTTTTAAAATAGTATTTCATTTGCTCATTACTGAATGACATTTTCCTCTGCCACACTGTGTGTGATGGGCTACCCTAGAATTTCATCCCAACTGATGCTTATCTAACTTTTCATCCCTGACATGTTTGTTATCTTTTTCTGGCTGATGGTGCGATTTATTTATACTGAACGTTTTATAGCACACCTCTGCATGACGATAGGTCTTCAGCCGACCCTTTTCGTCTCATGTGCATCTGATTGACAGATAAACCGTGCGCTCTTATTTCAGATTCCCTTTCAAAGGAACTTCAAATTGCGTCCTCTAGGGGTCGGTATGGGGAGCACCTACAGTGTGACCGGTGTCTGAAGCATATATATAAAAACGATAATAACTTTGGCCGGCGACAGCCCATGCCGTCACTACCGGTGCGACTATAGTATAAATAGGCACCGGGAAAACACGTCATCGTCTTCTTCGTCTTCAAACTGACCGTTTGTTTATGTTAGCGTTAAGCTAAACACGACTAGGAGTGCATGTTTCTCGCCAGAGGCTTTGCTCTGATACCAGCAGTTTCACACGGCTCGCGTGCTGTGTGTGTGTGGTGAAGAGCAAGCGCGTTCAGCTCTCGAGGGAGTTGGATGTGCTCTGCATTCATTGCTTATTTCTTGTGAGGGATAAGCATGAATTGAATGCGCTCGTCTCACGAGGAGACGGCCTGTGCTCATTGTGATGCATTCGCGGGACTACTGAGGGGGATGTGAGTATTTCACCATTTACCCGAGTTTGTAGATAGCGTTTGCATGAGAGCGTTCGCCTCTCGAGGGAATAGCGATGCATTCGCGCCAGCAGTTTTCATTCACGCTTGACTTCCGAGGTAATCTAGCGGTTGGGCAGAGCGTATTTAGCCCCCGCGGGAGCTGAATGCATGCTGCGCGTTGCGGGCTGGATTACACTGCGTTCCCTGAGGTAAGAGGGATTTGTGTTTCTGTGGAAACCCCTCCTTTGTGCTTTTACTCTGAGGAGTAGTAAGCTCTATACACATAAATGATTATTGGGACCCGCTATTTCTTCAGATTCTATCGGGTCTGGTTATACGGGACCCACGCTCTCTATCGAGATAGAGAGCATGAGACCGTGTCCAGCTGCACCAGTGAACTGTCTCTTATTCCCCCATCTCTGAGACTGGCCTTCTCAGCTGCCATAGCTGCAACTCTTGCGTCATCAGAACAGTGTTGAACGCACCACTGTTTCCGTTTAAAACACGTTTTGCAACATTTTGTCGGGGCTGAACGCAGCCCGGGTTTATGACATCAGATCCAGGAGAGCTGAACAGATTGCTGGTTTTAAAGTCTTTCTACATTCCTCTTCCTCAAATACTGAACTCTGAACTTTGTTAGTTTGAATCTTAATTTGAATCTTAGTTTGAATTTCAACATTAAGATGTTTGATGTTCATATCCACTTTAGAAGACGTTCTATTCTATTTTATCTTATCTTATTCTATTCTATAATAAACACATGATTACAGCAGTGTTTGTTTCCTGTTCCTGGCACAGATATTCAGTATCCTGGAATGTTTGTATTCATTGATTGTGTTTATATGAAAATTAATCAAATTAAAATATAAGAGAACACTTTTCTACACACAGTTATAGTGGATGATCTGCTCCTGCAAAGCCATTAGAGAAACTCTGAAATTATTCTGAGAGGAGAAACCATTGAGACATTTGATAAGAAATGAACAAAAAGCCAAACACTCTCAGGATCTCATGATGAAACGGCTGCTTTAAGACACGTTTGACTTCTCTATTCAGTCATCATGTTATGGGTCAATTTATTTCTGTTGAAAATGATGCCACTGAACAGAAGAGGAAGCTCTGGCCTAATGGAGCTCAATGCGGTCAAGCTAACATGAAGTAAGCACACAAAAAAGAGCCGGATGTTTAGACACATTACACTATTTTACACTAATTTTCACATGACTTTACTACAGAGCCGCTTCACATCAGCTCATCTCTCATGTCATTACGGAAACAGTTCTGAAGAGTTTGTCTTTTCATATTCGAGGACTGAGACCGATGAAGATGTTTCACAGCATTTGGTTCTGTTTGTGTTTGTGTCGTCTGGCTGGTGAGTTTGAAATGTGTTAATGTCCTTTATTTAAATCACTGAAGCCCAAACAGCTTTAGTTTCAGTCGTGACGTGATTCTCGTCTGAAGTTAAAGTGTTTTCTGTGTTTGATGTTGTGGAGCTCAAAAAAGATTTTTATTCAGATTCACCACAAAGATGCAGTTAATAATCAGTTTTATTTGGATATTAGTAATTTTTTGAAATGTAAATTTCGAACCGTTTACTTTAGAAAACCATCATAAAGTTATTTAAAGTCTTAATCTGAGACAAACACTGTGTCTGTTTGTTCTTCAGGTGTGTTTGCTGGTCCAGACGCAGTGAAGTCAGTGTCAGTGATGGAGGGAGATTCAGTCTCTCTACAGACTAACACTAAACTACAGACAGAGAATCTCATTACGTGGACATTTGGACTTTCAGAGAATCATATCGCTGAGACCTATGAAGAGGATGGATTCTTCTACACATATGATGATGGTCCTGACGGGAGATTCAGAGACAGAATGAAGGTTGATAATCAGACTGGATCTCTGACCATCACAGACATTAGAACCACAGACTCTGGACTTTATCAAGTAACAATCAATGGCGCGAAACTACAAAAGACATACAGATTCAATGTTACTGTCTCTGGTGAGTCACAATTACACTGCAGTTTGTGCTGCTAGTCTTAATAATTATACACAAATAATTAAACAACCTAGTCATTTAATATCACATACACATTTATTGATGCGTTATTTTTTTGCCCTTTATTTGCATCAGCTGTATTTATTTATACTGAACATTTTATAGCATGACGATAGGTCTTCAGCCGACCCTTTTCGTCTCATGTGCATCTGATTGACAGATAAACTGTGTGCTCTTATTTCAGAGTTTCTGTCCTTTTGCAAAGATTTGGCTTTGTACTTTCAGTTAAAAAGGACAAACTTTATCATTCAACTGAGCTGTGCATAATAGGCCTATGTTCTTTCTTGCTCCATCCATGCAATAAATGCATGTCCTCAATGAATAAACGTATTAGCTCAGGTCAATGGTGTGGCCCATTTCAGACACAAAATTACAATTTTGGGGGTTTGAGAAAGTAATTAAGATGAAGACTAACAAAATCTACATTAAACACTCATTGATTATTCTCTCATGCTTCCAGCTCGTCTGCCTGTTCCTGTCTTCAGCAGAATACTTTCTTCATCATCATCATCATCATGTTCACTGGTGTGTTCAGTGTTGAATGTGAGTGACGTGACTCTCTCCTGGTACAAAGGAAACAGTTTATTGTCCAGCA